GCTCCAAGATCACTGCAGACTGGGACTGCAGCCAAGAAATTAAAAGACGCTTGCTCCTGGGGAGGAAAGCTATGGCAAATCTAGACAGCAGACTAAAAAGCAGAGACATCACCCTGCCAACAAAAGTGCGTTATAGTCAAGGCTACGGTTTTCCCAGTTGCAATGTATGGCTGTGAAAGCTGGACCATAAGGAAGGCTGAGCACCGAAGGATTGAGGCCTTTGAACTGTGGTGCTGGAGACAACTCCTGCGTGTCCCTTGGACTGCAAGGCGATCAAACCAGTCAGTCCTAGAGGAGATCAACCCTGACTGCTCTTTTGAAGGCCAGATACTGAAGATGAAACTCAAATACTTTGTCCACCTAATGAGAAGGAAGGACTCCCCGGAGAAGACCCTAATGCTGGGAACAATTGATGGCAAAAGAAGAAGTGGATGGCAGAGGATGAGGTGGATAGATGGAGTCACTGGGGCAGTCATTGTGAGCTTAGGTGGACTCCGGGGGATGGTGGAGGACAGGAAGGCCTGGAGGAGTGTTGCCCATGGGGTCAGGATGGATCAGGCACTACTTCATGAATGACAGCAACAACAACATCATCTGATTTAACTGAACTACGTTTTGGTAAATTTTTCCATGGCTTCTGCAGAATTACACGGCATTAAATGTGTTTGTCCCATCGCATAAACAAGTGTCAGGGTCCCAAAGCCAGTGCTGACTCACTGCTATGACTATTCAGACTCATAAATCCCTGTGCACTCTTTACGGAGAAATAAACCCTGCTGAATTCCACTGAACTCCTTTCCAAGCAAAGGTGTTCAGTCAATGGGCATATTTTGGATAGTCTTGGATAGGCTTCAGCCTGTAGCTGCTTTTATAGTGGATTTAAGAGCATTTTATGGTGCTTGCCCTTTTCAGAATGCATCTTTGCTACTCTGTTTTACTGGGATACTAGGTTAGCTTTCCCTGCTGCTTTCACTATTTCTCATTGGTTTTTTCCTTCAGCATCAGCCAGATGCCATTTCTTGCCATAACCCATTCATTTCTATATTTCTACATCCTAGCAGAAGGATGTGACATCACTTTGAGACACTGTCAAAGAAAAGAATCTATAACAGTAAACTTCATGGCTGGATGGTTGTAAAAAAGTCACAGCTCCAGCTGGGACCTCAGAAATGTCTTTCAAGCTCAGAGCCAGGGCTAGAACTTCCGAGCACCCTTTCCCAACTCTCACAACCAGCACGGTTCTTTCCACACTGGGTTCAGCCCTCAAGTCAGACAAGCAACTTTACAGCTGCTGCATGCGGATGCTCTAAAGTCAGGGAGCGGAAGAGTGAGGCTTCCCAGTATATGAAACCAGCTGGCAGGGCCTCATCCTGCCCTCTTTGCAAGCAGGCACACAGCATTCAGAGAGCCAAAATCTGCCGTCTCAGCACAAGCAGGCAAAAAGCTTGAGCTGTAAGCAATTTGGGACTGCTAACCACTAAGAACAGGGCCGTCTTTTGAGTTGATACTTTGCACCTATACAATGCAATACAAACAGTACGGCTACTCGGCAAGATATACTTACAGTTGGGCTATAGGGTGAAAAGCACTTGGACCCAAACACAGAACAAAGAAAGGCGTTTTAGGGAACACCACAATGCTGAGCATTTCGCTCCCATGCGCGCGTGTGCACACGCGCACGCACACACATTGCCAGAGGCATGGGTCAGGAAAAAGGGCTCTTATCACACTCCGTGTGTGCATTGGCTTACCTAAGCTGTCTGCATTATCAGCTTACATAAATCACCAACGTCGATAACATGATTGTTGCTTTCCTCTCCCTTCAAACTCTATTTACAATTCTCTCCCCCTCCCCCAAAGTAGCCCACAGCACTTGGTATACAAAACCCTGAAACTCTCCAAATCTATCCTACATATAATCAATTGGGTTACAGTTTGCAGAAGCTTTTGGCACGATAGAGCAGTGTGACATAGTGGTTGGAGCGCTGGGCCTCGGGAGATCAGGAGTCTCAGCCATTAAACTCCCAGGGCAGCTCTCCCCCACTCCCTGCTTCTCAGCCCAACCTACCTCGCAGGACTGTGGTAAGCATCCCATAAGCCCAGCGGGAGGATTATGCAAGTGGCCCCGTCGTTCCGGCTGCAGCGAGACTTCACACGACTCGCGACCCCGCTCCAAGCCATTCGCAGGCTTACCGGCCCGAACATGTGCGTGGCTTCCCGTCCCCGGGCGAGGCGAGCGCGTGCTCCGACCGCCGCGGAAACTTTTCCTGCCACCAGCAGGGGAGCCCTTCCGCTGGCTCCATTCAAACAAAAGAACAGCCCCCCCCGCACCCCCATCGGCCGCCCCCACGCCGCCCCCCACCTCCTCGGGGCGTCCGCTCCCCACCCTTACTCACTCCGCAGCGCCCCAATGAGAGAGCTCCCGTCCTTAATGAGCTCTTTAATGAACTTGTTGGTCCTCTCCAGCTCCACCTCGTGACATTTCAGCCTCTCCCTGAAATCTGGGCTATCCAAATAGGAATCGCTGAACTCCAGCGTAGGCAGCCCCATGGCGGCGGCGGCGGCGGCACCCCCCACGGCCAGCCCGGGGCGAACGGGGGAGATGCCAAAGCGGGGCGGAAGGCGAGAAGGCGAGGCGCCCTGCAGCGGGCTCCCCGGACGATGCGAGTCTTGCTTTCCTCCCTCCGCACAAGCGGCGCGGCGCGTCCCAAAGTTGCTGTCAGCTGTTTACATGGCGGGGCCAGGAGGGCATCGCTGAGTCCGAGCCGCCGCCGCCGCCGCCGCCTGCTTCCGGCAGGTCCGGCTTGCCTTGTCCCTTTCCTCCTCCCGCCAGCTCCACGCTCGCTTTGAGCCTCTCCTAGTCCGGCCAAGAAAACTCTCCTCCCAGCCTAGGTCAACAGGCAGACACGCCGGAGGAGGGGTCGGGGAAGGAGAAGAAGGGAAGGAGGCAGCGCTGATTCTCCGGCTCCGGTCCAATCAGGAGGCTTCGCTTCTTCCCAAGCGTTGCCCCCCAGCACCCACCCAGCTCTTGCACGCTGCCACGCCCCCTCCCCAGGCTCAGAAAGGACCACCCACCCACCCATCAAAATACGGACACACCGCTCCCCATAAAAAAAGATGCTTTTTGGCTTTCCGTGATGCCATGAACTCAAAAGCGTGCATATTTAATTTTTAAAGTGATAAAATAATTTGTACTGACGAAAGAGTGCTTTCCAGACTTTTGACCTTTTGCAACTAAGCCAGGTTCACAGAAAAGGCTTGTACTCCTCTGCCAAAGGCGTCTTGTGCGCTCTTCCCTTGAAACTTTATTTTGGTACGTGCTCCTTATGCAGTTTTTATACTGGTAGAAACACAGCAAAGGGATGGTCCCAGTAATCCCTGTACAACAACAGGAGAAACAGAGAAGCACGGTTGGATGAGCTTGTAGCTTGCCATCATGTTAATTCATTTAGGTTGTTAAAGGCAGAGGAGCCCTAGTCAGTTGATGCCACCTAGTCCTCCTAGTCTGATTCACAAAAGTAAGCCCAAACATACCAGCAAATGGCACGCCATGACAACTTTCTAATGGTCAAAGGGGTAATTAAACACTTTGTCCAACTTAGGTGGACTCCATCAGTTTTGAGGCTTGGGCAGTTCTCCTTGGTGATGGTGCAGACTGGTCTTGAAGCAATAGGGAAGTAATTCAATGAGGGGTCTTATGCCATAAAAGACCCCTAGTGTTCCTTCCAAGCTAGTATAGTCTCTTCTAAATGGCTGTAGCTCTCCAGTATCAGATTCCCTGTGTTTTAATCATGGTGCAGAGGAAGGGATATCAGCTAGTGTAGCTTAATATGCAAGGTACACCTGGAATTTCTCCTTCTGCACAAGGACTATAATTGTGCATAGGATGGGTTGTGGCACAGTGGTAGAACTCTTGCTTTACATGTAGAAGGTCCGAGGTTTGAGCCCTGACACCTCCAGGCAGGGCTATAAGACTCCTGCCTGGACAGATGCTGTGGATGCCCTCTGTTTACAGATGTATGAGCACATATTCTGCATCTCCCACCACTGCTCTCCGGGATCTTGGAGGTCTTTCGCTTTGCCTGCCGGTGGAAGGGAAGGAATCTTGTTCCAACCTTCAGCACCCACAGTGGCAGGATACTGTGGTGTGTGCGTGCATCCTCCAGTAGATTGAATCCATCCGCCAAAAATGGCGTGTATGTGTCCTAATCCTGTTTAGCTTTAAAAACCCAACTATCCATCTATTTATTAGCGGTACATATTTTTTGAAGTTTTAGATGGTTCTTTTTGATGCTGTAGTTTTGATGTTGTAGTCCTGCCTTTGGTTCTGACAGGAGAAAGCTTCCAATACTGGTCTTTCTCACCAGCAAGCACTACAGTTATCTGCCGCACTACCTCAGGATTCTCTTATTTATTTAATTATTATTTATATCCCACCTGTTTTCCCTACAGGGAGCTCAAGGCAGCTTACATAATTCTCCTCCTTCTTTCATTTGTGTACGGATTACAACAAACCTGTGGTGTAGGTTGGGCTGAGAGTCTGTGACGGAGCCAGTGAGCTCCATGGCTGAGTGGGGATGAGAAACCAGACCTGCTGAGTCCCAGTCCCATGTTTATAACCATCACACCACACTGGATCTCCTACACCTCAGCCTAGGATAGGGCTTTGTGGAATATGGGTCCAGGGGACTTGGACCAATTATGCAGCCAGGGCAGGACCCAGGGGGGGTCTGAAGTCTGGGCTTCCAAATGACTCTCTGGGAAGCAGCCGATGAGAGGGGTAAGCAGCCAGGGCCTGGGCTGGCCCTGCAATAAGGCAGAGTGAGGCTGTCTCCTCAGGCAGCAGATCCAGGGTGCTATGGGATTGGGCAGCAGTGGCAATCCCCTGGCTGTACCCCCTCAGTTGGACGACAGGGCTGTGTGTTCCAGGCTACCTGCTCTTCTAGCCTGTTTCCCTCAGGGCAGCTGGAGGATGCTGTCCCATCATCCATGCCCAATTCCACTGCCAGCCTCATCTGCTCTTGCGAGTACAGCTGGGTGTGTAGTTGAGGTGAGAGGAGGCTTCTCCTGCCCTTCACCTCAGGCAGCAAAAGGCCTTGGCCCTGCTTTGTGAGTTTGTTCCTGTTCTTTCTTTTTATTTAAAACTTTTCTAGACCATCCCATTACTGAAGTCTCAGGACGGTTTAACAATATAAAATGTAAAAATGAAACACAGTATCCTAAAAATTAAACTAACAATAAACCCCAATTAAAACAGTCAGGTCTTAAAATGTTGGGAAAATAAAAAGGTTTTGACCTGCCGCTAAAAAGAATAAAGTGAAAGAGCCAGGCGAACCTCTCTGGGGACCAAATTCTACAACTGGGGCACCACCACAGAGAAGGCCCTTCTCTGGATAGCCACCCTCCTAATCTCTTCAGGGAGGGCACCCAGAGAAGGGTATCTGCCCCAGATCTTAAGGGATGGGCCGGCACATATGGAAGGAGACGCTCCTTCGGGTAACCAGGTCCTAAGCCCCAAGTTCAGGTGGTGCTGTGATTTAAGAGAGCTGAAAATACAACACTGTACATGCCCTAAAGTACTTTGCTTTTCCTTTATCCAGGTTGTCTTTTTCCTCTTTTTTTGCTATCCTTGCTTACTCCAATGTAGCAGGGATGTAGAAAGGATTGTAAAGCATGGGATGGCAGGAGAGGAGAATATAATTGTGCGCTTCACAGTATCCTGTACTGACAGAAAGATGAATGAGTAGGTTGTGGTTAAAAGCATGGGACTGGGACTCAGGTGATCTGGGTTCTAGTCCCCGGTCGGCCATGGAGCCAACTGGGTGACTTTGGGCCAGTCACAGACTCTCAGCCCAACCTACCTCACAGGGTTGTTGTTGTGGGGATAAGATGGAGGAGGAGAAGGATGTAAGCTGCCTTGAGCCCTTTGTAGGAAAAAGGCAGGATATAAATCGCAATATACATACATACATACATAGGTTCTCAATCAAATCAAGCTAGACCTTTCCCTGGAAGCAAAAATGACAAAACTGAGGCTGTCCTACTTTGGACACCTCACAAGAAGGCAAGCCTCACTGAAGAAGACAATCATGTTAGGGAAAGTCAAAGGCAGAAGAAGAAGAAAAGGAGGGCCGACTGTGAGATGGGTCGATTCTATAAAGAAAGCCACAGCTGAGGTTACAAGAGCTGAGCTGAGCTCTGAAGGACAGGCTATTTTGGAGGGCTTTCATTCTTAAGGTCATAATAAGTCAGAGACAACTTGATAGCACATGACAACAACAGCTGCACTACTGATTTGGAGTCAAAAATGCACGTTGGTTATGGATTGGCCACTCTCAGATTATTTATGCCTTTGAAAAGGTTTGCTCTATCTGTTCTTCTACCCTTCGAGGTCATTTAGGATGACTCCCAAGAAAACAAGAACTAAAACAGGCAAACATTGAACACAGCATTATTTTTGCATTATACATTAACCATGATGTGGTTCCTCTACTGAAGCTAAGCAGGTTTGACCCTGTAGACTTCTTGGGTGGCTGACTATCTGGAAACCACATTTAAGATGATCTGGGAGGGATCCAGCGAGGAAAAGGAGAGTCTAAACAAACCCTGAATGAAACTGCAAGAGAAAATAAAATTAAAAAACCCCCAAACATTGGAAGGCTTTTTAAAAAGTGGCAGTCTTCTAAGAAGCTTCAAAGAATTTTATCTGACCACGAGACTGGCCATGTGTTTGAGGGTACCAAGTGGCCTTGCTGTTCTATCTTTGTCGCTATAAAAATATCCTTGTTTTGATTGTTGAAGTTTCCCTAGAGTGCTCCACTAAAAGAAAGGTGAAGTGGTAAGAGAAGGAGTAAGTTAAGGGAAGTAAATTAAGGGAAAGCATGGTTGAAATTTTTTGGGAATAAAGAGAAGAAATGTTTACATTTGGACTTGCTTCAGAGTTTTCCTTATTGAGAAGGAAACACAGAAATTATCCTAGATCTGGAGTGTCTGACTTATCAAAGAAGCTCTTGGGGGATTTCGTCTAGTGGTGGGTGGGGCCAGAGACAAAAGGGGTGGGACTAGGAGCAAAAGAGGTGGGGCTTGCATTTTATTTTAGCTTAATGCTCATCCTGCCTGTAACTAAGCCTTTCAGACATTTAATATGTGGAGGGGGAGCAGCACAAATCCAGGGCAAACACTGAATAATTGGTGGCCAGGGGAAAGGGAGATGGTACAGGAAAGGGTGAGGTAGTCTGAGGAACTTTGGACAGCCATCATTGGAAGACTGGCTGGGGGTTGGATTTGCCACCAAGGCTGGAGGTTCTTTGTTGCATGACAGTTTAAGATCCCTTGAAAGCTCATCAAGAGTTCTGTGATAAGAAGAGGAACTATAGAAAAGCTGTACCTGAAATATAGCCTGGCAGCCACTGGTGATCTGCTCCAGGAAGCTCCTGGACAGCGCTGGATGAACTTAAGAGCACACTCTCTATGCATGTGGGGCATAGAGGAAGCCCAGCACAGGAGGACTGAACCATAAGGTCTCTGCTGAGAGTCTCTGGCCTTACATATGTAGGGTCAAGGAAGGCCCTGCTATTCTCTCCACCAGAAAGCTGTTCCCTCTGTTGTGGACATACCTTTTATAGCTGGGATGGGGAAA